ATCAGAAAATGTGAATACCACTTGACTGAAAGTATTCCACCCTTCTAAGACTGAGAACTTTTCCAAGCTTTTGAAGGTAGAAGTCATGTTTTATGACCAATGCAGAGATCTTTAACTTGGTAAAAACCAAATACTCAGTCAAATGCATAGAGATGCTGGGTAAATACTGATGATGATGATAGACGAAGAAGTAGTCTGTTTGATAAAAGCAATTATAATATAGATGCACTTATTTGGGATAAATTATGATTATTTGAGCTCTGCTCAAGAGCTGAGGTACAAATAAGCACCATGGTCTGCTGCCTGTTTATTCCAGGAGAATATTACTTCTCCTGGAATTCAGCAGTTATACAAAATTGATTTGGCTGTGGAAAATTAAATGCAGGGAGCCTGGGTGGCTCAGACGGTTAAGCGTCTGCCTTCGGCTCAGGTCATGATCCCGGAGTCCTGGGATCAAGTCCCACATCGGGCTCCCTGCTCCTTGGGAGCCTGCTTCTCCCTCTGCTTCTCTCTCTCTCTCTCTCTCTCCCTCTGTCTCTCGTGAATAAATAAATAAAATCTTTAAAAATAAAATAAAATAAAATATTTGAATGCATTAACTTGTCTTCGAATCTGAAGGTAACACCCGTAACCGCTTCACGAGATTATTGCGATGATTACATGCATCAGTATGGTTAAAAACACTTAGGAAAATACTCAATCCAAAGTGAGTAGTACGTTAAGTGTTAGCTATTATTATTAGGGTGTGCTGTGTCTTATAAGATGGAGAGATGATGAAATTATGGGGAAGACTGATGTAATCACTGACACTGGCAAACCAAAACAATGGGGACAGTCTGACAGTTTAAGGAAGCTGATTCAGGAGGGAATTGAGGAAAGCCACGGGAGATGCCATCTGGGCAGCCCCGTGTTTGCTGTAGCTGGGGGGAGATGCCCCTAGAATGTGGATATCTAATCTGGTGGCAACTCCTCAGAACTTCAAAATGGAAACAGTATGAAACATACTTTTTTTTAAACTTGAAGTTTCAAAGTTTTTTGTTTGTTTGTTTTTTAACGTTTAGTTGTTTAGAGAAAGAGTGAGTGAGGAGGGAGAGAGAGAATCCCAAGCACTTTCCACTGAGCGGGGAGCCCAGCGGGCTCGATCCCATGACCCGGCGATCACCACCTCAGCCGAAATCAAGAGTTGGACGCTTAACCCACTGAGCCACCCAGGTGGCCCGAAACATGAACACTTTTGATTTAAGTGCATTGCCATCTGGCAAAATAGGGAAACTTGAAACTCTTGGAATCTGCTGACAATGGTTAGTTTTATATTTCGGTGGGGCTCTAATTCTAATTTTTATGCCCGCAGGGTTCAATATGCAGATGGCATAGCCTTATTTCAGTTGATGATTTCTGGGGGTTGGGAAACTAGCTGACAAAAAACCCTAAAGAGACAATTAGACTAATATAATGTTATTCTGCTATAAAATCTTCTATTAGTCATAAAATCCAGTGCCTTCACAATCTTTCTAAATTGTGACTCTTCATTAATATAATCTCATGAGCAAGTTTCTTAATTTTATATAAATTATATAAATATTTATATAAATATAAATATAAAGATTTGTTTGCCCTTTCTCCTATATACATAAAGGCCCTTTATTTTGTAAGTAACAAGGAGAAGCTGACTTGAGAACTTTCTAGAATAATCCAAAGTAATTAAGCAAAAGTTAATGATATCTGTTCCCGTGTTTTCTGTCATCAAAGAAGCCTATTATCGGTGCAATAATTTCGGTAAGGGTAGTTAAGTTTTAGCTCAAAGAATGTTTTTAGACTAAAATAATGAGATTATAATTTTGTCTGTTTGCTGTAGTCATTGGACAATTTCTTAAATACCTTGAACTCAAGGTCCATTTAGTGCTTTGAGGTTAAGATGAAGAATAGTGTTTTGGCAAAGAGGAAGCATGGTTGAATGCAAACTATTGTATGATTACTGTAACTTCTTTCACGGCAGTCACTGGGGGAACTCAGTAAATATTAAGTTAATAAGTGAAGTCAAAGAAAAGACTTCTGTTGCATATCTCAGGAGCTGAGAGAAAATACTTGTGACAACTTTTCAATTCAGTCAACGTGATTAGCGCCTCCCATGTGCTAGGAGAGCTAGAGAAGGGGCTCAGGCTGTCAGCAAAAAGGACTTGGCGCTAAAACAGTATGATTACTGCTATACTTATTCTAAGATCAAAACACTAAGCGGGCACGCACAGAAGAAACCGTTAGTGGGGGCAAGGAAGACGGGGGAAGGGTCCAGTAAGGACACGTTTCTTGATGTGAGCCTTGAAAACTGATCCTAAGTTTTACAAATAAAAGAAGAAAGCAGGGGCGCCTGGGTGGCTCAGTCGTTAAGCGGCTGCCTTCCGCTCAGGTCATGATCCCAGGGTCCTGGGATCGAGCCCCACATCGGGCTCCTTGCTCTGCGGGAAGCCTGCTTCTCCCTCTCCCACTCTCCCTGCTTGTGTTCCTCCTCTCACTGTGTCTCTCTCTGTCAAATAAATAAATAAAATCTTAAAAAAAAAAAAAGAAGAAGAAAGCAATCAGCGCAACAGTTGGAGCAAAAAGAAGTGAAAGAGCATGGAACTTTCTGGCGGCTTGTGGTCTTGTGCACCCAGAACGTGGCCAAGAGAGGATGGCGGAGAGCCAGAGCAGAAGGAAGTGACAAGAACTAAGGTTGGGGAAGTGGTTGAGGCAAGCTGGTGAAGGCACACAATTCTTTAGTAAAATTATACATTAATTAAAAGAGAATACTTCTTTATTCTTATATGAAACCCACAATGATACAGCTTACTTATAAAAATAAAAATGCTTCTGGGTTTATTGCGAATTTTTTTCTCTTCTTTCTTTCTTTCCCCCTCTCTCTCTTTCTCCCCCTCCCTCCCTTAAAATTATGAGCGCCAAGATCTCTTCAGTCAGCTTCAGAAATAAAAGCCTCTAATGATCTACATCTAGGAAGAATATGCTGGTGTGGAAGAGGGGATCTAAAATAAACAGCTGCTTATAGAGAAGCAATATGGAGCTGAACATCCTGGCTATCTACCATTCCTCGACCCTCCAAATGCCCAGTGACCTTTGGCCAGTTCCTTCCAGGGTGATTCCACTCCTCAGGTCTAAGGGCGGTTAAGAGAATTACGTGAGATAATGCATAAAGACTGGCTGCACATATTAAGTACATATAAATATTATAATAATAGTATTATCACTTGTCTTCTTTAAGTAGGTAATATCTCAGTGAGACTTGTCCGCCTCCTCCCCTTCTTCAAAGGGATTGGAAAAAGAATTATAAATGAGATTAAAATGCTGAAATTGTTTGCCAAGTTACTGATTGTTTTGAGGCATACTCCCCTTTATAAACTAAAGGAGACAAAATTTAAAATGTGACAAAGAAAAGCATCCCTGAGAGAGTTAATGAAAAGTCCTACCATAGCAGTGCTTGTTCAAAGGACAAGACCCAGAAGATTTTTCCCTGAAGTTACTGGGGGTGAGTTGGAATGAAGAGAAATGGATATTTTATAACACTTGAACAGTCTAAACTTGATTTAAATCAAGAGAGTTTTTTTCTTCCCATTTTGAATTAACTTTTTCACATTCCATTTTATTTCCTCCCAAAGTAAGGAAAATACTGACATACCTTCACATTCTAATTTATTGTGTTCTCATTAACATTTTTACTGGAAATAAGAGCATTTTTTAAATTTGTTCTCTTCTGGGATTCAGGTCCTCCTCCCCCAACTGCACATTCTTGCTAGTTTGAAACCATTCAGGAAAGATGTGTAAACAATATGGACGGCCACATTTTGCAACTTTCAGAAATTCACATTTATAGGCAAATGACTAATTCCATTCAAATTTGCCTGTGCAGATGTTCTTTCAAAATTTTTATTTAATAGAAACCAGTTTATGATCAATTTATGTAAATTTAAAATTAAGACATGGCGAATAAACCACCATTGTCGACTGAGTTTTTTTTTAAGTTGTCCTGAGGAAATCACTTTAGGACACAATTTGCTCTACTGAATAAGAAAAATTGGGTTTTGATAAGTATCCTGATAAATTAATCCATTTCCACCCCAAATGGCTTTTTATGTTTATCATCTGTCGATGGTTCTTAATACCGTTGGATAAGGATAATTAAATGAAGGCTGATGCTACAAGATCCAAAGTCTATGTTTCAACAGAGCTTCTGGAGTAAATATCCCATATCAACTCTATCAGAATTTCTGTTGTAGACAGAACCCTTTCATCCAGACCTTAACAGTCATTTGGCCATAAGCCTAACCGATAGTTGAGACAATTCTGCAAAAACAGTACAATTAAGCAAGGCAAATTACTTTTATTTCTACAGAATAAATAAAGAAGAGGCACCTCGGATGCTTTGTGGTTATTAAACACACCCATTAAAAACTGTTGGCGCCAAAATCACTCAAACACCCAGTAACACACTCAGTAACGTATGACTCAAGACGTTAATATAACCACTCAAGTACTGTAAAGAAACTTTTTAGAAAAACAGAACCACAGGAGATAAAATTAAACTACTCCCACTAGGCCAACGAGCAGCACAATCTAAGTGATCAATACGCACTTTCCTGAAAACATTTTAAGGTAGATAAAATCACAGTAAATAGCCTCCCTGAAATGGAGCAAGAGAAATAAATCAAAACATGGTTTGGTTTGAAAGGGGGGAAAAAGAAGAATCATTGTTTTGGGGGGTGATAGCTGTGGGTAACTAGAGAAGCAGCCCCCCCCCCAGAGGACTGAGGGGTCCCACTCTGGGCAGCCACACAAGGTGGCGGCAGCTTGGTGGGGCAGTTAAACCGTGGCATGGCTCACACAGGGCTCGGGTGACAGGTGCTTGGATCTCCGTCCCCTGAAGGCAGAACCCACAATCCACAGAAACAGAGCTGCCCAACGAGCAAAACATCATAAGCGCTTAGAAACAACAAAAAGATATGAAGAAAATTTACCTTGTAGAGAAACTGTCCTCAGTGGTACTGGCGTGTGACCAGAAACCCCCTTCTTTCTGATGTGCAGAACAACTTTGTCAAACCCGGGTGTGCAGTCACAAGGCAGGAAGTGACTAGAATGACAAATCATCAGCCAGGAAAGAAATAGATTTTGTCTTTATAAGGACATTTTACCTAACTTTTTTTTTTCTTTCATGTCTCCTCCCCCACAGGAATCACCTGACAGAACAGGTCACACTGAAATTCAGAAGTTTCTTACCACTTCCTCTTTATAAAGTATTTCTCTCCTTCCCTTTCTTTCTTCTCTAGCTGTCTCTTAGGCTCTGGGCTGCTTAAACCTGTCTGATTTCAGATAACAAGGCAAGGTCAGCCTGCTACCTTTACTACTTGCTCTGGCCCCCCGGCGGCAAATGCAAAGCCCAGGTGCCTGGCTACTCACAGCAAAGACAAACGATTAGTGGAGTAGCCAGAGGGGAAAGGCGGCAGGTACACCTGAAGCAAACTAAAAGGGATTTCCTTGGGAAAGCCCCGCCCCAGCCAAAACCTAACTTTGCGTAAGTGTCCCTGAACAATGATCTTATTCGAGCAAACAAAACAAAATGGTCTCTTTAAGGGGAAGGACCTACAAAAGAAAGGCCACTATATTATTTACGCATTCTTTTATTTATAGAACATCTATGTGCTAGGGATCTCTTTAACCCAATTAAAGATTTCAATTATTTAGACGCTTCCTATAAAGAGCACCGGTGGATCACACAGGCAGCTGCTAGAGTTAAATGGGTAGCTAGATTCCTTCCTACAGACCAGATTTATTTTTTGAATGCACATTTTATCAAATGAGCGAGAGAATTTAAAAAAGAAGTAAAAAACTCTATTCTATGTCTAAACGCTGGATGCGGGTCTTGAGGGCAAATTCCCATTTTCAAAAGCTAAGTGCTCAAGTACCCATGGCCTCATGGAGGCTGTGAAGGTCGTGTTAGTGCCCGGAGTCGTGTTAACTAAACATGAAGCATCATCTCCAGATTGTCTCCACACTGTGTGCGGTTCCAATGGTCAGCTGTTGAGGAATGAGGATAATGGCTGCGCTTCAATCTGATGACAGTGCTTGATCATTCTATATGCCTCTGTAGTTGCTGGGGGCCTGGGACACAACCAGCGGGTACTCTGGTTGGGGAGCTGCCCTTATACTTCTTTTGCTTCTTTGATTTCTCCTCTAGAAAGTTCCTGCTTCTGACCTCAAAAGTTAAGCCAAGATATTTCTGATTTATCTACTTCATTAGCCCCTGGTGTGGTAACTTCTTGGTCAGAACCACACAGAGGCCATCTTGAAGAAGAGGGTGGACAGAGTATAATGGGAGAGATGGTGGAGATTCGGTCCATTCTGAAAGTGGTTCACCTCCAGAGAACTATTAGCCCTCTTGTGACTCCCAAGGAAGACTGAGAGGGTGAATCAGACCCTGTTTTCTCCATTGCATAATTACTCCCAACTAATAGAATGCAGAGGGGTTTCAAGAAGCACCTAAATTCTTTTGGGACACCAAAGAAACACCCGTACATCATTGTGACCGTACTGGTCCCACTACAAAGCAGCAAAATGCTAGTGGTTTCTACTCTGGTGGAAACAATCACCATTCTGGGCCCTGCAATCAGACTCTCCAGATAATGTCCTGATGGTTTGAGGATGAAAACATGTGAAACGTGGAGCTCCCTAATCTGGTTCTACGTCCCAGGTTGGAATGATGAACGGAATGAAGATCCAGGAGTAACACATCATAAAGGGGAACGAGACTCATTGCATTTACCTGGGAGAAGGAGAGCAGCCGCATCCTGATTCTACTGGCACCTGGTCATCGGAGAACTGAGGAACTTGAGAAGAAGAGCACGATATAGTTGTGCATTGGTTCAACAAGCATTCAAGTGCCTGTTTGTAGGCACTGGTGCTTCAGAGATGAATATGGTACAATCACTGCTCTCAAGGAGCACATAGTCTAGTGGGGAAGAAGACCTTGTATGTAAATGAATGCCACCTGTTAGGAAAAGGGGTGCAAAGGGCCGTGGAACGCTGTGGCAGGTGCAGATGTGAGCAGAGCTGACACGGGAAGAAGGTGAAACACGTGTGGTGATTCTCTGAGCCATCAGAGGAAGGATTCAGGATTCCAGACAACATCTAGTTTCTGGAAGATGAAAGTCACTGAACTGTGCCACTTTACCACCCAGTTGAAGGAGGCTTCTACTCGAGCACCAACTCAGCTTCAGCTCCACTCGGCCACCCACCGGCACCTCACCCACATCCTGGACTACTCCCTCTATCTGAATCACTTTATCTGCCTCCTAGCGGCATGTCTACCCAGATACTGGCAATTATTTAGGTCTCAGATCAAGGCTTTTTCAGAGGGCCAGATTTTATCACTGTCGGTGTTTAGAACAGCTTGTACATCATGATAATAAGCAGAAAACTGACTTTTGGTTTTACTATTATTTTTCTGTTCTCTACAGACCATGCACCTCTGATGGCAGACACCCAAAGAGGACCTCCCTCACCCTCCATCAGCCTCTACTGCCACCTCTGCCATTTCTTCACTGGCCTGTCCTTTGCTTTCCCTCTACCCCGGCTGCCCTCCCCTACTCCCCCCACCCCTGGGCTGCTCAGAAGCCCATGGCCTCAGTCCCTAATTCCACACCTAATTCTGCATCAGCACTGGATGCTACTGAAGCAAGTCACAGAAACACAGACTTAGAGTTCAATCTACTTGCCTTCAAATTACTGCTCAGAAATACTTTTATTCAGTGTCATTAGTTCCTGAGAGCAAGCGTTACCAACCAGGGGTCTCTTGACCTCTAAAATTATATGCCTAATTTTGTGTGTATGTTCTTCTTCCTGGGTTAATCATATTACTTATCGTAATATTAAAGAGATCACAGACCCCAAAAGTTGGACATTTGTTCCAAACTCTCTCCTCTTGCCTCAATCTCCTACTCCACCCTCCTGCAGCCTTTCCCACCCCTTATTTACTGAGATGATCCAAGTCATCTGGCCCGAGAGTCCTCATCTAGCCTCCTCTGCTCTCACAAGATCTACCTTGCCCTCCTCTGTCCATCTGTAAAGGAAGAGGTGTTCTTGTGTCTTCTCAAAGTCAATAATTCCTCATTTTAATCCTAATCTTGTATCTTCTGTTTACTTAAGTACCTTGCTCCATCAATGACTACGTATTTTTCTGGCATCTTTAATTTCTTATATTCCTTCACTTCCCCTTCATGCATTGTGGAATGGGTACAAAGGGAGGAACACCTCTGCTTCACTCCGTTGTCACCTCTTCCCTCCCCCACATCTCTGTTGGCTAGAGAATGAAAGTAAATAAGATGGGCACAATCCCCACCTTTCTAGAATGTCCCCTGTAGTCAAGGACACAGACACGTGAAAAAGCAAGAAGAACTCAGAACCACGAGATGAAAAGCAAAGTGCCTGTGGGAACACACAGCACTAAATCTAGACTTGGGGTCAGGGAGGCACACAGAGAGCAGAGTGGCGTGGTTAAGAGGAAAGACAGTGGGCTACTTGTCTGGCGTCAAACCCCAGCTCTACAGCTGTACTTGTCATGTGACCTTGGGCCAATCACTTCATTTCACCGGCCTCAGTTTCCTTATCTGGAAAATGGGGATAAGAACAACGTCTATTTTATACAATTGTTGTGAGGGTTAGGTTAAATTGTTAGATGTAGAGAACACAGTAGAGTGCCTGGCACATAATAATGATATATTAAGTATTAACTAGTCTTTTAATATTTATACCAGTCTCTGGACTAGACTCTGCACCTACATTATTTCATTTATTCCTCACAATGGCCCTTTCAATTACATTATTTTTGTGTTTCCTTCTTTTCTTTTTTTAGTATTGTTTCCAATTCTTCAGTACCTCTTTGCTACGGAATTCTACGCTGACATCTTTGCTGTGAGACTTTTCAGGACCTCCTACTAGAGAAGGTAGAGTGAGTAGAGTAAACCCACCCAGGCTTACTTCATGTAACTGGGAACAGAGCATTAATTAGAATGTTATCAGACGAGACACAAACAGGGGTCTTGAATATGCTTACATGATCTGACATGGTCTCCTGCATGTCTCACATTTACTATGAAGAAAATACACCCTTGTTTAAGTGGAATGAGGAGATGCTTGAGGACAACCCGAACCCAACCCACAGCCCAGGGTGAATCTAGCTGACATTCTGAAGCAGAGCCATCCTGGCTGACCCATAAACCTAGGTTTGTTGTTGTGAAAAAGGTGAGATTCGGGAGTGGTTTCCTATGCAAGGTTGTCCCAGAACACGTGACTAGTACTGCCCCCCTGACCAACTATTTACAACTCTGCTGCTCCTGGCATTGCCAACCTTACTCTGCTCTGTTTTCTACAGAGTTAACACCAACTAGCATGCAATATTTTAACATAAAGTTTATTGTCTTCTCCAAAACATAAGCTCAACTTTGGGCAGATGTTTGTTTGTTTGTTTGTTTATTTAAAGATTTTATTTTATTTGAGAGAGAGAGAGAATGAGAGAGAGAGAGAGAGAGCATGAGAGGCGGAAGGGTCAGAGGGAGAAGCAGACTCCCTACCAAGCAGGGAGCCTGATAGGGGACTCAATCCCAGGACTCCAGGATCATGACCTGAGCCGAAGGCAGTCGCTTAACAGACTGAGCCACCCAGGAGCCCCTGGGCAGATGCTTATTGGTTTTCTTCCTGGCTCTTGGAGCAATGCCAAGGCTCAGGTAGGGAATGGGATGAATGAGTGAAAGCTTATTGTCCCTTTGCTTGATAGCAAAAATACAAAAGAAGCACCAGAGTGAATATATAAATTGTGGTTCCCTATAGTATCTAGCAGTTATAACAAGTGAACTACATGGCCGAAGCAAAAATAAATCTTAGAAATATAAACTTAGGGGAAAAACAAACATTGCAGACTAATACTAATATTTGTATGCATTTTAAACAACTATCATAGTGTGGTTTATGGATGTGTGTGTAGATGTGTGTGTGTGTGTGTTTATAATAAAAATATGTCTAAGGGATTATAATTGCCAATTTAAGAACATAGTTACCCCTGCTAAGTTAGGGAGGGAG